ACATTTATATAATTTTGCTATTAAAGAGGCTAAAAAGCATTGTTTTTTTGCTAATCATCATAACTAAATTGCCCAAACCCAAAAAAGCCTTATATTTCATTCATTTTCAATTATATACTGCAGTTTTAAGCAGGAAATTGAACTTTAAAGCCTAATATAACATAGGAAGGTTTGGATTCAGCACAATTAAATTGCCAGCTTCAGCTGTAGCATCTATCACTACCAAGGATCTTTTTGGGAGTAACTAATAGACATATTTTTTAAGTTCTGCGGCATCATCGAAAGAAGGTTGATATATTGTAAGAAAAAATCCAATTGATCTGGCAGTATATAGTATTACAGAAAGATATCTTGCCCCAGGAAAATTGAAGAAAAATAAAATAGATGATATAAGGAGGATGCTAATTTAGAGTGTTACTGCTCTCTGCTGGCTGTGTTGACAGTAGACTATATTAACTATGAAGATGTCCCTGTGCTAGCCATTTGTGTATGCATGGTGCAAATCTGTTTCTGGCAAACCATTTAATGGGCTGTGAAATTGAGGTGGAACAGGGGTTATTTATTAGTTCAACAGTGCAAGCAGGGAAAAAATAAGTCAAAAAGTGGCTACCTGTTTCTTATTTTTGCTCTTGTTTTATCTGATACAGTTATTTGCAGTTTTTTTAAGCAGGTTGCAGCCAACAAATATTAATAAACAAACCTCTGAAGGCTTCAAATACACACACCATTAAAGAAACAATAAGAGCATGAAATTTATAGCAGGGAAGGTGTTTTGTGATTGTTGTTAATATCCCGCGTGCCTCATTTACTTATGTAATGAGCAGAAAAGAAATGTCTCGAAGGCAATATAAAATCGGAAGCAAACTTAATAATTTTTCCACGGTGCCTTTGCTTTAGCAAAGGTATTGTTGTTTAAACATATGCAGAAAAAAAAACAGTTTAATAGCTTTTGTTTTGTATTCATTTGTCTTCCCTATGATCAGAGATGAGTGAGTGTCTTAAAATTCTTTCCTTGCAAGATTCAATTGACTAACCCACACTATGCAGTATAGAATATAGAATTACATTTTTTTCTTTTTTCTGGTAAGGGAAAAAGCTTCCTAATGAGTTCTCACAAGTCACCCATTCTTTGACCTGAAAACACATTTTGAAAGGCTTACAGATAAGAAAATAATTATTGGTTAAAAATGTTTTGCTAGCAGTGTTACTGAATTGCTGTTATTTAAATTAATAATTATTTGTAAAATGTTTCAGTTGTTTGAGGGCATTTTCTCAAGGGGCACTGAGCATTTAGGTTGCTGACATAAAAAAAAAGTTTTTTTTTTGGTTTTTTTTTATAGCATGAAGCAACATCACTGGCAAGGCGGCAGACAAGTTAAAACAGAACAATGATTTTCTGAAGGGCTGCAGCCATTGACTATGCTAAACAGTACTGTTTTGTATTTTTCAGTGGAGCAGTATTAGTCTATGAAATCAGCAGTAGCAAGTAAGGATTATGATTGTCTAACACCAATGAACAAGATACAGGATACATGGGTAAAAAATGGGAGCACCAGGTTAGCAATTGGCCAGTTCAGGCTGCTGGATGAGTTGAGAATGGGAAGCACCTCAGTGAGCAAGATATCTGGAAGAAGAAGCTCAGCTCCTGTGGCTGGGGTAAATCATCATTGCAAGTTACCAAGTTGATAATAAAGAACAAGTACTACCCTGCCCACTGCTCCAGGTGTTTCCTAACTTCATAGGGAGAAATCCAAGAAGTACATCATGTTTCAGGCAATTTGAGCATAGGAATACAGGGACAACCCTGCTACAGAAATACAAAAGGTTCAGTTTCCTCCTATACGCCCATACCCTTCAATACATTTGCATAAGGACCATGTATCTGGTACCACAAAGACAGCACCACCAGTAGAATAGGATTTAGTTGGCAAACAAAGGCAGTGTTCCACATCTAGATTTACTAAAACCAGAGCACTCAGAATCTGGTGCAGCTGTGCATGGTAGCCAATCAGCTTCTAACTTCAGCTTGTTCAGTTAAGCTTTGGCAATAAAACCTGGAAGCCGATTGGTTTTAATGCAGAGTTGCACCACATTTTGCACCTCCAGTTTTAGTAAATCAACCCTTATTTCATTTACTTATCCATATAGGAATGAATGAATGCATTGAGGTTTGGTTCACAGAGGATTCATCAAACCCAGTGTAAAGTCTAAAAAATTAGAACCCAGTTGAGGTCTGTAGGAGTGGGGAGCAAAACTTAATCATCATTTTCATCAAGGCTAATAGGCAAGAAATTGTCAAAAAAAGGGCATGAAGATCGGGGCAGGGACAACCCTGCTACAAAAATACAAAAGATGAATTATCCTCCTATACACCCATACCCTTTAATACATTTGCATAAGGACTATGTATCATCTAACTGGTACCACAAAAAAAACTGTACCTCCAGCAGAATAGTATTTAGTTGGTAAATGAAGGGGTTATTCAACACCTATTTCAATTATTATCCAGATATGGATGAATGAATGTATTGCAGTTTGATTCACAGTGGATTCGTCAAACCCAGTGTAAAGTCTAAAAATTGAGAACCCAACTGAAGTCTGTAGGAGTGGTGAGCAAATATTGATCATCATTTTCAAGGCTAATAGGCAAGAAATTTTCAAAAGGGGCATGAAGATCTGGATACTGCACTGGGGGACATGTATTAATGCAAAAAAATACATTACAGCAGGGAGAAGGCTAACATTAGAAGACAAGGAGAAGTAGCAGGAGATAGTAATGATAGTAAGCCAGTAGAGGTGGCAAGAGCTGGCAATGGTGGCAGGCCAGGAGAAGTGACAGGAGCAGGTAATGGTGGGAGGTCAGCAGATATGGCAGTTGTTGGTAATGGTGGCAGGCCAGCCAAGTTGGAAGAAGCAGGTAACAGTGGAAAATGCCTTTTTTGCAAAGTAATATTTACCCACTAGCAAAAGCTACAGGGGTTTTGTAATCATTGCTGTTTCAGGATTGGTTAATTTTTTTAATGTTAGCAAATGCACAGTGCCAGGTCCAAGCCGATTAGTCTCTCTTTAACAGATATCTCTCTGCTTAGCTGCAGAAACTTTATGTGTGGCAACTTTAAGGCTTGTTCACACCAGCAGCTGTGTCAGAGGTCCAAAATGGTGACCACTTAGTAATGGTCTCCCTCTTTCATGGCCTAAATCTTGGGGTCTTTGCATGCATTTCAGGATGAAAGACCCTATGTATCACAAATTGCCTGCACCAGTGGATACCAAGTCCTCATTGATCTCACCTCACCCACATACAACTCCTGACTCACTTCCTCCTCACTGCCAAAGCCCAAATACTCCTTCCCGTACTCCCCCACAGGCATAGCAGAAGTAGGCAAAGGATCCTGATAGGTTTAAGACAGCAGGAAGTCCTCCTTTTTCTCCTACTGCTGTGTCTACAGAGCCCATTTTATCACACCATGCAGTACTGTATGTGCTTCAGCAGGAATACCCATTTTATTGCGTTGCTTATCCCCATTTTATCCTGGCTCACCATTTTGGTTGCCTTTTTCAATAGTGACAAGATTTTTCGTGCTTCCTAAATGTGAAGCTTATGACATTCCGTACTCATTGATGCCCCACCACACTGTAGCATGCCCAGTGTCGAGTTCCAGAATGTGTATGTACTGTATATCATATTAGGTGGGTGACAGGCAGTTTGTGTTGCCATTGCATTTTGGTCAGGCAGACACTTGTAGCCTAAAGTGGCTGCACATAACTGGCATACTGAAGGACATCCTAGAAGCCAGGGTAACTAACCAGAAACTGCTGAACCAGGTGTAAGACATGTGTCGGGCAAGGTACATGTGTAAACCTTTCCTGCTGAAGGGCAAAATCAGGCAAAACACGTGATATTGTCTGGCACAAGATGGCATGAGTCAGCCTCCTCTCGGCTTGGCCCTGAAAAGTTTCAAGAATCTCTGTAATGATGTGGCTCTTCTCACCCAGGCATGCCTAGTGCAAAACAGTTCTGGGATGTTTGGGGAGGCTAATGTAACTGATGAGTAAGAGGATGAGGCCATTGAGGAGGAGGGAGTAGAGGTACCTGTGCTTTTTCACTGAGTCCAAGGTGCAGGACAAAGGGTGGCACCAAGAGATCCTGCTCTCAGCTTGATATTCCCTCCCTCTATGTCTCTAGCATTCTCTTCCCTAACATCTGATGCAAAACATTTGTATGCATCTTCCTCCAGTGGGTGACTGATGGTGTGCAGAAATTCTTCCGCCAACTCCTGCATGACGGTTTTAGGACTATGTTGTTATTAGCAGAATAGGAAGAAAATTAAGAAGAGAGTGCATTTCAGCAGTTTCAGACAACTGCAACCGGGATGAGGAAGAAAAGGAAGGCTCAATGAGCCACCCAACTACTTTGTGTGCTCTACCTGTATAGCATGACCTTCTCAGAAAGAAAAAACAAGTGTGCCCTGCCTCTGAATGGTGCAGCCTGATCACCACTATGTCCCACAGGAACTGCTTACCTTCTTCTACCTTTGACTGTATAACCTCTGGCTCTCCCTTTAGGCCTGTCTAACACTTTGTGTAGAGTACTGTAAATAGTAATGTGCAGCACGATATAGCACTATCTATCCATAATCACACATCAGCTCTTCCTGTCTACTCCCAAACACACTGACAAATGGCTATTGGAAACCTTTTCTTTTATAGTAAGGGGACTTGCACATAATTCACCTTTTTTATGAACCAATGCTCAACACAAACCCAAACCTCTTGCTTATTTGCAGACACTATGTGATGGTTAGCTTGAACATGTATAGAGGAGGAAAGAGAGTGAGGATTGCTAACTTACTGCTGATGAAGGTTGACTGCCCATAGATACTAGATAAGGAACTAAGATTTAACTTTTCTCCCAGAAGAGGGTTGGGCATCATCAAAAATGGCAGCCACCAAAGATAATGTAGTTTCACATTTCTGAACCACACTGATAGGAAGGCACAGGGGCGGACTGACCATTTGGGAACTCGGGCAGTGCCCGAGGTCCCGGGGTCAGTAGGGGGCCCCATGAGATGCCCCTGGTACCTTTTAATAGGCTTTTTTGGGTGTGGTTTGAGTGTGGGCAAGGACATAGGGGCCCCATGATCCCCTTTTGCCCAGGGGCCCCATGAGTTGTCAGTCCACCCCTGGGAAGGCACCAGCTTATTGTTGTTTACCCCGGTTCCTCTCCCACTGGGGAGAAATAGTTTTTTATACGCTGTGTGAATTCTTATGTGTACCTGGGCACACACTACAGAAAACTTTCCAGGTCATCATACTCTTAAGGCGGCCACACATGGATCAAAATGTGGTCATTTCAACAGGGATCGGCAGAATTTTGAACCACGTATGGCCACATATGGGTGTCAGTAGGGCAGTGTGGGTGGGTCAGGAGGAAGTAGCACAGGGGTCAGTAAGGCGGCAGTGTGGTTTTATTGGTTGTAAAAATGGGTCACTTTGTATGTTACAGCTGTTAAGCCATACCTTACCTTCAGTCTTGCACAATTGTACAGAATTCTCTCCTGTACTGAAATTTATGATTTCACTGCAGACTGTGAGCTTCTTACAAAGTGTATTAACCACTTCAAGTCCAGACACTTTCACCTCCTTCCAGTCCAGGCCAATTTTCAGCTTTCAGTGCTATCACACTTTGAATGACAATTGCGCGGTCATGCAACACTGTACCCATATGAATTTTTTAGGTTTTTTTTGAGAAAGATAAAGCTTTATTTTGGTGGTATTTATTCACCACTGGGATTTTTATTTTTTTTTGCTATGTAAATTAAAATGTCCAACATTTTTTTAAAAAAGTGTTTTTCTTATAAAATTTTGCAAATAAATAGTATTTCATCATAAATCTTAGCCAAAATTTATTCCGTTATATTTTTAGTAAAAAAAATAACCCAAATTAGTTTATAACCAAAAATTCTAATTTTTAAACATTTTTTTTACATTTTTTTTTTTTTTTTATATTATTTTTTATTTTATTTATTTTTTTTTTTTTTTACATACTGTCACCGTAGCAGTACAGTGTCATCATGGTGACACTGTACTACTTGTGGGGGGTGATGAAGAGTTTTTTTACACTGATTGCTTTTACACCCATAAAGGCTGTAAAGCAATCATTTCTCCTTCTCTCTAGCTGCATTCTTGCAGCCGTTGAGAACTACTGAGTGAGCTGTGATTGGTCACAGCTTTTCACATGGTACAAGGCTGTTGTGAATAGCCTTGTAGCATGTGACCTCTGTGATCATTCACAGATTTCACACGTAGTAAGCAATGATGTCACAAGTGACATCTTGCTTACTACTCTGCATGTGATCACTGATTGGCCAATCAGTGATCACATGATCGGGACCTCGTACAGAGGTCCCGTCCGACGATCGGTGATCCACTGTGTCCGGAGGAGCGCGCACAAGCAAGGTGCTAGGATGCTCTTTATGAAAAGCCAGCCGACCCTACACTGCCACCGTCAGGTCGTTTATATATAACGGCCGGACGGGAGGTGGTTAAAACCTGCAGTTGGAAGACATCCAGTATAGTCTAGCCCTTTCCTCCCCAACCTCACCCTGTCTGGACGTCCATTCCAATCATCAGATTTCAGTTCTTTCAAACATGGAGGCTCAGCATCACATAACACTAGTCTACTGCTTGCACCAGTGCTGAGGGCACTGCTGCATAAATGAAAATAAATAAATAAAACGTGAAAACCCAAATAAAACAGCTGCTGGTAATACACCAATACTTGTTCCCACAAAAAAAAGTAACCTTCTCCTCATCAGCCTTTTCCTTCTTGAGTTGCACTCTTTCCTTTTAAATGTCTCACACAACATGTAGGGAGAGATGGAGGGAGACAACCATAGTGTGAAATCTTTAAAAGCTTTTATTTATTAAAAACCATTTCCACAATGCCTACTGACATTGTTAGGTGCATACCCTTGAACCAGGATAAAAATGCCTATTACATCATAAGCAGGGGCAGACTGACAACTCATGGGGCCACCGGGCAATAGGGGATCATGGGGCCCCTGTGTCCTTGCCCAAACTCAAAAAAGCCTATGAAAAAGGTACCAGGGGCATCTCATGGGGCCCCCTACTGACCCCGGGCCCTCGGGCAGTGCCCGAGTTTCCAAATGGTCGGTCCGCCCCTGATCATAAGCATAGGGATAACACGGATCTGGCTCTGGGCTCTCTCACCGCCACCTTCTCCTGTATTAACCACTTCCGATGTTGCTGTGTGGGATGACGTCCCTTCCTGCTATGCCCGACGTGGTGTTTCATCTTCCTGACATTCTCAAGAGGCACAGATGTGTACTCTATAATTGCCAGAATACATCAACTAATATAGACTAGGTGAAAACAGTTGCACTGTCCCTTTAAGAGTGAGCCAAAAAAAGATTGTGCATGACTGCATTACCATAAGACATTAATGAAAGTGCAAAATATGTGCAAATACAATGTAGTCCAATAGTTACAATAACTATTCCAAGTGACATAAAATAAGATTTTATATATTATATATATATATATATATATATATATATATATATATATATATATTGGTTTTTGGTCACATGATATGAGGCACTTTTGTTCTATTTGTCTTGTGCTTTATATATATATATATATATATATATATATATATATAGCTGCTGACATCATCCCAGTATAACCACTCAAAGTCCATTTATATACCGGTACGTCACTGGTCATAAATTGGTTAAAACCAAAAATGTAATATATTGCAGCTTACCAATCATTGGAAGTGGTAGCTGCGTTAGTTTTAATTTTTTAGGCTTTTTTTTCCCTCTGTCTTCACCTGGTGATCTGGCCAGCATCACGCCTTCTTTATCAGAGTGTGCCCACTCTGGATGAATGAGTACAGGAGGCACAACAACACATCAGCACTGTCAGTCTGGGGGGGGGAGTGTTAAATGTACTAGCATATTTAAATACACCAACACATTTAAGCCAAACTCCAGCTCACATTTTATAGTAAGCTACAGCTTTTTTCCTTTCAGCATAAAGGTTTTACATGAATAAATAAAAGCTGATCGTTGTAAGCACCCTGTCAGTGGTAGTTCATCTCATCCCTGTAAACTGATAAATCTGGAAAGAGCTTGTTCTTTGAAAAACAATAGACTTACTGGCTGAAACTAAAGGTGAACATAAAGGAAAGAATGTCTAAAAAAGAAAGCTAATGCAGTCATCACATCTAAGAATTTGTAAGCTGCAAAGTAATAAATATTTGCTTTTGGGTTTAATACAGCTTTAACCTAAGTAGGGAGTGCTAAAACTTCTGTTAGATTTTGATTGATGTCTGTCTCCTGAAGCCACTATAAGTGAGAGGAAAGGTGAAACCAAATAGCCGGCAACAGGGAAAGTTTGTTACTGTGCACGCACTTCCCCTCATCATGAGTGGTTTATCAAGGTGATTATGTGGTTATGACGGAGATCAGAAATATTATTTTATTTTTGTGTTGTTTTGTTGAACTCAGCAGTGTGTTAAGCTGTCAGCTTGTCTGCTTAATTAAACCTATGAGTTCCTGTGCCCCGCAGGGGGTGGGAGATGAGGTTGATCTCAGCAGGATGCACAAGCAGCAGTGTCCTGCAGCTGGAAAAAGCCAGACGTGTCAGCACCATGTGCTTGAGGTTTGGTTGAATTGAAGGGACAATATAATGTCCCTATGCTGGCAGAAAGGGTCAGAGCATTCAGAGCTTAATTCAATGAGGAGCTCATGGCTGCAGGTCTCGTGAGAAGATGCAATGAGCTGCTGAGACAGATAGTTCTGTATGGGTTGAGCTTTGCTTTCTGCACTGCTGTGACTTGTAGTTCTGCATTGTCTATGTGGTATTCCAGACACTGGGACTTTCCTCTACCCTCTGCTCTTCCGTCAACTGTTGCCTGTGTGGTCTCTCGTGATGAGTTGGTGAATAACCTCAGCCCTCTGGACCTCCTTCTCCATGCCACTCTGCCTAGACTTCCTCTGCTGAGGCCACTATTGGTTGGTGAGTCCCTGAATTGCTGCCCTGTGCTCCTGGACTTTGTTGTACCAGTTTGTAGCCTGCTACTCACTGGGCCCAGATGGTTGCTCTTTGACTCTGGACTAAGCTCTGCTCTACGAGAGTGCCACCCCGTGCCAAGGACTTAGCCCCTCTTGTGCTAGATCCCTATCCATTCCTGCTGTGTGTCCAATTCCTTGTGTGGATTAACTCTTTGCCTGCCAGAACTCTACCATCTCTGCTGTGGGCCCAGCCTGTGCTACCGACTTAACCCTTTGTCTGCCAGAGTTCTTCTATCCCTGCTTTGTTCCCAGCCTGTGGTACGGACTTAAAACTTTGTCTGCCGGAGTTTTGCCATCCCTGCTGTGTGCCCAGCCTGTGTTACAGACTTACCCTTTACTTCTGAAGTTCTTCCAACCCTGCTGTGTGTCCTGCCTGTGTTAAAGACTTAACCCTTTGTCTGCTGAAGTCCTGCCATCCCTGTAGTGTCTTACGGATTTAACCCTTTGCACACCAGAGCTCTGATATCCCTGCAGTGTGCCAGTACCTTGTTACGGACTAAGCCCTTTGCCTACCAGAACTCTGTTATCCCTGCCTTTGAATAAAAGCCTTGAGTGTATTCCTGCTCTCCATGTGTGTTCTGTTCCACCCACACCTCCGTCACAGTGATCATCAATCACTAAATGTAGTTACTGATCAAAACTTCCAGTTCCCCAGAAGATCTGAGTAGCCCATTTCCAAAAGGCAGGGAACTCTCTAGAATGTGATGTGCACTTAAATGATATGCAGGGGCGGACTGACTATATGGAAACTTGGGCACTGCCCGAGGGCCCGGGGTCAGTAGGGGGCCCCATGAGATGCCCCTGATACCTTTTTCATAGGTTTTTTTGATTTTTTTTGATCCCCTATTGCCCGGGGGCCCCATGAGTTGTCAGTCCGCCCCTGATGATACGTTCGCATCTTGACAAAAAATATTAAATGCACATTTTTTGCAGCTAAAACAAAGTGCTATTATTATTTTTTGTTGCAGGATGATCAGCAGATCACTGGTGCCATGCAGGACTCCTGAAGACCTGTCAGTATATCTGCTTGCCCATGCATCCCATATGGGCAAGCAGATACACTGACAGGAACAATAAATGAACTATCACAGTGCTCCACAGCACCGTGGTAGTTCATTGAGAACTAAAAGCAGACATCCGCAACGAATGTTGGTACTTGAAGTTCATTAATTCACAGAACTCTGTGAATGAATGATGCAGTGGGCAGCGGCTGCAGCATACTGGGAGAATGTTACGTGTTCCACCCTAAAAATGGGTGGAACATGTAATATGTTCCCAAAGGTGAACTTATCCTTTAATAGAAAAATTTGGAAAATGTCTTCTGATTATAGAGACTTGTCTGATCGGATATTAATTAACAGCACAGCTATTAATTTAGTGTGGTATTATTGTAAAACAGACATACTCTCCAGAGAGACATAATTTTGCTTCTATACAATCCATTAGCAGAAACTTGTTATAAATATGTAGCTCAGCTTTAGTTACAACTTCATAGAAAGAATGTTGCAGATGTGCAAATTGTGCAGAGAAAGTAAACTAAATTAGTAAGGGGCATGAAGGACCTAAGCTATAAGAAAAGATAAATTGAACCTATTACATTTACTGTAGTGATTAGCATTGAACCTTCAACACTGTCACCACTTCTGTTCAGGTCATGCTGCAAAGCACAGCTGCTCTAATCAAGAGTGCTTTAACAGACTGCTGGACATTCAGGCTGTAAAGAGGTATTTCCAAAGGGTAACACTCCTGTTGTGCTCAGGCCCTGGGGCTTTTCAGGTCATATGTGGTACAATTTAACTATCTGCAGTACTTGTTCTGGGTAACCTACTTGGGGTGGTGGATCTGAGAAGGACGGGTTACAACATCTGGTCAGGTTTGTCCTGCTTTTTTTTTTTTTAGAAGATTGCCATCCCCTGCAGGTTACCCATATAAATAAGGCTCACTGGTGCCCCAGGGAGAAGAGGGCTCTTTGATATATTATCAAGATATAGCTGGTACTCTGCCGCTTTGCTGGACTCTGTGTGGATTACTTACTGTCTTGGTGGATAACTGCTTATGAACTTTGTCTTGCTCTGGATTATTTTTAAGAACTTTGCTACTAACTTAAGTATGCCTACCTTAAGGGCTTTTAGAGATCTTTGCACAGGAGGAGGTGTGTGGAGATGTCTTTGAGAACTGTCCTTTTGTTATTCTTAACTACTCCATTAAAGAATTTCCATTGTTCATCTACTGTGCCTGGTCTCTCAAGGGGTTCATGAATGCTTTATTAAAGAACAGGGCTTGTATCTGAAAAAGGGAAGAGGAGAATATTAAAGCAGCCAGCCAGCAGGAGTTATGTAACTTGGCCTACCCTGGTAGCAAGGGAGTTGGCGAGCTTAATTCCCTCCCTGGGAACTGGTGCCCCATACCTGGAACCAACACAGGGAACCTATGTACCTAGCCTGGAAGTCATGGGAGAAGGAGAGAGAAGTAGAACCTTGGATAATGTAAAGCTCATGAATAATTATGGCTCTGAGTTATGTGACAAACGGGAGGCTCAGTTTTTTACTGAGTGTGAGGTGGCAATCATAGCTGTGTTGGCGGAGTGGGACACAGGCTCTGTGCTGTCTGCTGTGGTATGCTGCATTCAGAAAGGTTACACATACTGTACAAAATATACAAATATACAGACGTTTCCTGATGCATGAGCCTTGAGCTAACTGCATTGAGCCTTGAGCCACTGATGTCACTCCAAGGTCTAGTCCCTACATAACTTCCAGGCCCATGGAACAATGTTGGCTCTCTGAATACAAGCGGAGGTCTGGGATTAAGTTTATGGCAAGTGACCTGTTTATGTTGTTGCCTTCTTTTGGCACTATTCTATGTGAGTGCATATGGCATATATCTTTTGTACGTATTAGTGTTTAATAAAATATACTAACTACACTATATACTTTCCTTCTGTTTTTTTGGATTGTATACCTTTGATGAATGAGAATCATTGGTGAATCCTAGAAAAAAAAATGAGTCTAAGTCCTCCCATGGTCTGGACTTACGGTAGTTGTTTGAGTACTTGCAGGCTGCTGTGTCAGCCGCATTGGTCTGGTGAGTGTGGAATATATTTGAATATGGTGGAGCACTTTTGTGGTACTTACAGAAGATTAAGTTGTTAATTCTTTATTTTACCAAGGTATATTGGAATACAACATGACAAATGAACATTAGGAAAATACAAGTTTTAGAAATAACTATATAACATATATAGCAATAAGATATAAAGAAGATTAAGTTACCTAACAATTTGATACGGATGAAGTGATTGGCAATATTTAATTGCACATTTGGACTTTTTTATTTGCACATACAGTATCAAGTAGATGTATAATTATAATTGTGTTGTGTGTATTTCAGTTTTTCTTGTTTTACCACTTATGTTTCACAGTTCAAAGGGCTAGCTCCTACCTTTTTTTACCTGCCTGTCGGGAAGTGCTTAGTGAACAAATACTTACATCTGTGCTGCCTACTATGTTGGGGTGTTGCCTTAATGTTGATGCCACATAACCACAGCCCCCATGCCTTCAAATCATATATAAGAGACCACATACACAGAACCAATGCCCCACCCACAAGCCAGAGTCTGAAGAATAGGTTCTGCTTGCCTTCTTTCTGTCTGCTGTGCTCAGGACCATTCATGTAATTTGAGCTGTATCGGAACTCTGTTTTGTCCTGTTCTAGCCATCTGCCTATAGATTGTCAGCTCAGTCCACCTGCCTATAGATTTTGCTCCTGCTCATTGTATCAGTTTAGCATCTGTCTTGTCTGCTAGTTGGCTATCACAACTGGTGACAAAGTAGATGAACAAACCACAAAATTGACCCTTGAGAAGAGGCAACTAAGGGTGATACAATCATTTGCAAAAAATGCAAGAATGCGTTGACCTCACAGCAAAAAATATGACATAACAAGGCATTCATGGTCATTGGATTAAAAGAGGTTTAACTTACGTGCATAGTAGGACAAAAGGTAGAAAAATAAAGCATTCTTTACTGTAAGAGCTGTAAATATATGAAATGTGCCACTCAGTTGGGGCACATTGGACCACACTATATAAGGTTTTTTTTTTGCCTTTCTATGGAAGTCAAGGGTTCTGTGTTTTTTATGACTGAACTCAACAGATATGTGTCTTTTGACTAACTATGAAATACTTTGGTTAATGAAATTATAGCAGTAACAGTTTCATAATACCAAATTTGCTCCTCATAATGAAATAGCTGACACTTTCTAATTAATTACCAGTCCACTTAGATCCAATGTTCTGTTGTGGGGTAATAATAAAGCACTTAAGGTGCAAAATCTGGGCTATTTTGCTTCCTATTTGCTCACTATGACATCACTAATAGTGTTTTCATTGATGTGATATTTTATCTTTCAGCTGCTAAACATGCTTTACATGATCTCTTTTGAAGTAGAATGCCAACCAAGAAGAACAATGCCAATAAACTTAAATAAATATATTGTCATTGACACTTAAATTAGCTTTCACTTTTTTAACTTAAATTGCAAAAGTGCCTTTTTTAAGGTTAGAAACACTAATTACAGTTATGAGAAATTAGAATACCTATCATTGAGAAGGTTTGTTGAATCAAACTCTATTGTGTGAAATGGCTAGTTTGTGATCTTTATACACATAGCTAATTGCATTATATATACATAACTAATATTTATTTATAACTAAATTGAATGTTTTGTCTGGAGTTCACGTTTAATATTTTATAGTAGTGGTTGCCAAACTGCGGCCCGAGGGCTGCATGTGGCCCTTGGGGCATTATTCCTCCCATTGACACCAAAATGAGGCATAATTCCTGCCACTCACACCAACAGTGGGCACTATTCCTCCCAATGTGACCAATAATGGTGTACTATTCCTCTCTTGGACACCAATGATGGAGCATTGGTACCAATGCCAGGACATGTTCTATTCCTACTGGCCACAGCCTAGCCCTTCTAAAGTCTGAAGGACAGTAAACTGCCCCATGTTTAGAAAGTTTGGTGACCCCTGTTTTATAGTACAGGTTGGCTATTATTGGGGATGGACTATTCAAACAAAGAATACAGGAGCATTCCAAAATTTATTTATTTCAGTTACTTATATAGCGCTGTCAATTTTACGCAGCGCTTTACATATATATTGTTCATTCACATCAGTCCCTAACCCTCAATGAGTGTACAATCTAAAGTCCCTAACTCACATTCATACATACACATACTAGGGCCAATTTAGACAGGAGCCAATTAACCTACCAGCATGTCTTTGGAGTGTGGGAGGAAACCCACGCAGGCACAGGGAGAACATGCAAACTCCAGACAGGAAGTGCCGTGGCTGGGATTCGAACCAACGACCCTAGTACTGCCAGGCGGAAGTGCTAACCATTTAGCCACTGTGCTGCCTGATATTAATATTAATTACATGGTTGCTCATTTTGGAAATAACATTTATGAAATAATATATTCTACCAAGGAAAATCAGTAATACATTTATAAGCACTGATGCAGAAGGAAATTGTTTAATGCAAACAAACTTTTTAGTTTATGGGGCATCGCCTTCTGATTAATGGCTCAAGCAAAAGGAAGCATTGCATGCTGCAGCTTACCTTAGCCAATCAGAAACTGGATCCAAGTAGAATATGGATCCAAGCCTTTAAAGGGAGGAAATGTGTTTCAGAGATAAGGAACTGTGGGCTTGCTGTATTTTTATATATCTATTGCATCCACTGCTGGGAGCATGGCCGTTATGAAAGCCTACCTCAGAGGCTGCTCTTGGAGGTCCCCTGGAAAAAAGATAGACACAACCAATGATGTTGACCAATCATACTCCAAAAGTTAGATCGTGAGTATA